ACTGTTATTGGAGCACAGAGTGAAAGGGGCGGGGCTTACACACACACATACACACACACACACACACACACACTCACTCACTCACACACTCACAGGGGACAGAAATAAAAGGAGTGAAGGAACATCAATGGAGCTTCATCTACTCACAATCAGCACCTCCACTGTCAGACATATCGAACCTCTCACTGACACACATTCAATATCCACACAGACAGACACAGACAGACAGACAGGTGGGCCGCCCTCCTCTGAGTAGAGGACATTAACTCTGGTTTTATAGAGACGTCCCCCCCGTCCCTGTCCCTGTCCCTGTGTGTCAGCAGTGGAGGTGGAGTCGGGTCCTGGAGGTGCTGAGGATGGAGAACAGGTGAACTCCGGGTGTGAATCAACCCTCAGCTGTCTCACATATCGGACCAACAGGTGAAGAATGTGAGGAGACAGATTGGACCTGGATCTTGTTAGAACTAGTTTTCCTCCTGAGAGATGAAACACTCTCTCCTCTTCCTCGTCTTCGATCTGCTAACCACCCAGCAGGAACTGACGCTCGCTCCGTCTACTATTGATCCTACCTTGACAGCCTGCTCCATCTTAATGCCCTCCACGATGTCGATGGGCTCCTTCACAATGGCGTCTGGATTTTCTGCCGCGACGTCTTCGATGTTCACGCCCCCCTGCGAGCTGCCAATCAGCACGGGGCCCTGTGGGACCCGAGAGGGTTTCAGTTAGAACATCTGAGGAACTGCTGTCATCAGTTCATCGGTTGTGGTCTGAACCATTAATTACATTCAGCTGTTTTACAGTATTTAAAGCTTTAAGGTTCCAGGTTAGAATATATGTATATATGAGAGATGATTTAAATACAATGACTGACTTTATATTGGTAGTTTTTACCCACCTGATGGGAATAAAGAAGAACATAAAGACTAACAATTGTTCTGCATAAGAATTCAAAATAAATGATTATTAATATGCACCAATCATTTATCAGCTGCAATGATCTATAGTAATATAGATTTCCCATTATCAGCCCTGATATGAGATATGAGATATATATGAGAGGAACAGTTTCAGATTCACTGAGTCCAACGTCTGCAGCAGGATGCGTCTGCACGCTCGCACTGCATGCTGGGTACAAATTAGAAGCTCTTCATGTCTCTGGATCTTGAAGAGGATCACAGTGTCCCCTTTAATGAGAGAGTTTGTTCCTCAGAGGACTTTGTTTTGTCCTTTCTGTGCTGTAGATGAACTCGTTAGCTCTGGTTCTGTATGAGTGTGTATAATGCAGGATGGTCCTTTAACTGCTCACAGCAGTGAACTGTTGAACTACAGACAGACGGTGTAGGAGCTGTGTCTGGGGATGTCTGAGAATATAGCTTCAGGGTGACTGAAGGGTCTAATGCAGATTTGTAGCACATTAACTCGATTTCCAGCGTGTGCATCCAGCTGAATGAGGACTCACTGGATGTTTAACCTCTGACCTTCAGGCTCTGACACACAATCTGCAGTTACACTCAGAGGCTGTGAACTGAGAGACTGCCTCCTGCTGGACTCATTTTATATCTTTCTCCCTCTCAGCCAGCGCTGTACGCTACGGTAATAACATCACACTGACATTATTCAGTAACACAATCAGTGTGTAGATCATCTGTAATCAATAATAATAATAATAATAATAATAATAATAATGGGTTTCTGTAGCAGACAACACATTTTCTTGAATCTGGAGAAGATCTGTGGGCAGAACTTCATTATAAAGCTGTTTGAGACATTTTACACTTATGTTGTGATTAACTGAGCAGCCTGAATCAGACTCTCTCTGACTGACTGCTTCTCTTGTCTCATTGGTTAGTTTAATAAGCATCTCATTTCAATCAGTGCAGCTCAGGGTTCTCTACATAAGTTTCATTTAATCTTTTCACTTTACAGTTCATTTCCTTTAAACTAGTCTATGGAACAGAACCACAGCTGTTACTTCAGATTCAGATTCTGCTTCTGGCTGAGAATAAACAGTCTGTGATGGATCCTTGGTGCAGTGCTGCCATCCGGTGGTGTGACTGTCTCTCTCCACCAACGTCACAAACAGCACACACACAAAACACAGACACTTCGGCCCGTTGCTAGGATACGTCAACATCGCCGCCATATTGGAGCGTGCAGCGCTGCAAACAAATACAGTAAACTGAGGAGCTGCTGGGTAAAAAGCACGTTTACATTTATATATTCAAAGCTTCATGATAAATTAAATCCCGGTGCAATATGGCGGTCAGCAATATGTGTGTATGTTAGCAACCTGTAGGAGCTGACCAATCACAGCCACCGCTGCCTCGTGGCGTTCTCTCACCTGGAAGGACCTCTCCATGGTGATGGCGAAGTAGTACTCTCTGCGCGGGTACCTGCGCTCACAGATGAACACCTGGTTGCAGATACGACCCGCCTCCCCGGTCTGCTTGGTGTACAGCTTTCGACCAATCATCTGGGACGAAATGTCACGGGCCTCCTCTGGTCTGCAGGAGGAGGAGGAGGAGGAGGAGGAGGACGAAGAGACACTGTATAAACTGCTTCCTCATCAACTTTTGATCTATTTGACATCTCTAATAGATCATATACCTTAAGCAAATACGACAAATACATGCAGATTCTTTCACATGGTGAGCAGCAGTGAATGAATTCATTCTGGCTGTTTACCCTACGGTTTCATGTCAAACAGCTGCTGTGAAAAAGGTCTAACAGGTGAAACAGGAAGTGGAACTAACTGCAGATTATTTGGGGGTGTTATCGTGTTTGATGACTTACGAGTAGACGATCTTCACTCCTCCCTTCAGTCCTCCCTCGAACGTCCCCTTCCCTCTGCCGCCAGCCAGAACCTGAGCTTTCACCACCAGGTCCTTGGACTCTGACACACACACACACACACACATATCAATATAACACATAATTACCTGTGATAGTGACAACAGAGACTGATGTTTCCTGTCTCACTGCACATAAACTCACTAATTAATGATGGATTAATATTAGTGCTTCACTTCTTCTGTGGTTCTCAGTGAACTGGCAGCCTGGAGACATCCAGACTGAACCTACTGAACATTTCCTCAAATGTCAAATAACCTCAAGTAACAATCTCTAATTTTTTGCTATGTTTTATATTGTTTTATGTTGATTTATGTTGTTTTATGTCGTTCTTTTTTGGCCTTTTTTTTATTGCCTTTACTGGATAGGACAGCTGAAGATCGACAGGAAAGGGGGGCAGAGAGCAAAGGGCCACAGGTCGGATTCGAACCCTGGGCCGCTGCAGCAACTCCGTATATGGGTGGCCAGCTTTACCGACTGAGCTCACCGGGCGCCCGTTTTATGTCGTTCTAGTGTCATTTTGTTGCTTAGCTTTGCTTTAGCATGTTGCTAAGCAGCTACTGCCTCAGGCTGGGAGATGTTGGACTTATGTTGTAACACTGAGGGACAGTAGAGACAAACTGTGTGAACATTAAACCTCATTTGAAGCCAAATAAATAAGTACAGTCGTAGGTGGGATGCTGGTAACGCAGAAGCTAGCAGGTAGAGCGCACTCTAACAACTGACTGGTTGAAACTGGTAGTACTGTACGATGCATTGTTGTTAGTTCTTCTCCTGTAACAGCTGACAGCAAATCTTTATATGTCCTGTTGAAATAATCCCTTAATGTGATGTGAACAGCGGCCTCATTCTTCTGAGGCAGGCCATTAAATTATCTAAACAAAACGACAAAAATCTGCAAAAAACAACCAGCAACAGTCGATAGATTCTTCCAATCGTCCAACTCTAACACGGAGCAACGTGATCATTGGTGTGGTGTTTGTGTCACCTAAAGAAAACCAGTATTTCCTGTTTTAGCTCTGAGTTTTGTCCAATTCCTGAAGGAAATATCAGTTTAGTTGCTGAATGCTCAGAGCACAGAGAGTGAACCAGAACAGACCAACAGCGAGCTGAAAGTGCTGATCATTCACCACCAGAGACACCTTTCATACATTATCATATGTATTATATGTTACAGCAGCTTTAAGGGCTGAAACTGGTCACATGGAGGTCCAACTGTTGCGACCTCTCACTATGCTGGAATTATGTAAGTCGAGTGTCAACTGATAGCACTGAAGCAGGAGGCTATGTTTAGACTGTCTTTACTGAACAACCTCGGCTTCAGCTGTTTAAAACCCGCTCACACAAAAGGTCACGAGGTATCAGAAATAACTTCTCCTGACAAACGCGACTGAACTGAGTCAGCGAGACAAATTGTGGCTGCAGCTGAAACGTTATCCAAAGTTAGCATCCAGACACACTCAATCTCCAGTACAGTCCAGAGCTTTCTCTAAGGTAAATAAGTCTAAAAACTGATATTAATTGATTATGCGCTCCTCCTCCGGGCTCGGTGCAGCTCACCGATCTGTTTGGCCACATCGTAGGCCTCCTCCGAGGAGCTGGCCACCATCCCAGCCGGCACGGAGATACCGGCCTCCTTCAGCAGCCCGATGCTCATGTACTCGTGGAGGGAGAGGTTCCTCTGCTGCTGCTGCAGGTGGGAGGGCTGCAGCTGGGACGCATGGCCTCCGAACAGACCGGAGGAACCACCGAGAACCTGGAGGGACGGGAGGAGCAACCAGAGGACAGGAGTTACTGATAGAAGAAGAATCAGTTTCTAACAGAAAGAACACCAATCCTGCTTCATTTCTTTCTCCTTGTTGTCCTTCAGGGCTCATTTTCTCTTCATGATGTACAAATATGTAAATTATAAACCTGATGGTTTCCCTTCTTGTTGACATGGCGACATCCTTGGTTACCATGGTAACAGTTAGTGCAGTTTAATACAACAGCAAACATAGTTTGAACATAGTCAGAAATACAGAAGATTAACAAACTCACGTTGCTTTAATAAAGATCAATAATCTCAAAGTTTGAATCCACCACCAACAATGACAACTACTATATTACTATAGCTGAGATAATAAAGACTATAAATTACATTAAAACATTTCATTTCATGTAAATCTGCCGGACAAGACAATTTATAATCAAAAAGAAAATATTAATCAGGAGATAAAGTATTGTAGAGAATCTATATCTGGAATATTAAATATCTTATTGACAGTTGTTGTTTCTGTAAATCCAAATTTAATTTAAATTGTTGATGGATTATTATTTGTACATTTTCTTTATAATTAATCTTTTTATTGTCCATTAAAAATATTAAATAATAAGTTACTCATTAATGAAATGCTTTATTATTATTATTATTTCCGTGGCAGCAGGAGATTATTGTGACATTAAACTACAGCGCGAACCGACTGAGCAACGGTGGAAACTTCACTGAGGATATGAAACCAAAGTGTTTGAGTCAGCTGGACCTCAGACAGACAGAAAATATCACAATGTGAGAAAACTACAGCCAGCAAAAGTGAGTCTGAATGGTGGAGAATGTTTATCCTGTCGGCTGTGTACACAACAAACAACACAATATGGTGCCCTGTGTGAGGCTGCTTACTCATTTCATGCTCTTTTCTGAAGTAATACTTTACTTGTTACTCCCTGCCAACAGTAATTAGTTACACTACGAGTTAGATTACTTTTCTGTTACTCCACCATAAACATCAGACTGACGACGATTAAAATCCAGTTTTGTTTGTAATGGTAGTAAGTAATGGAGTATTTCCAGCTGCTGAATACAAACTAGTTTCCTCCACGATAACAAAAATAAATCCAAGGATGTGATTGGATTATTAGATAATTATTACATTATCTACTGTCTACTGTCTCTCTACTGTCTCTGTGTCTCTACTGTCTCTACTGTCTGTGTCTCTACTGTCTCTACTGTCTCTGTGTCTCTACTGTCTCTACTGTCTCTGTGTCTCTACTGTCTGTGTCTCTACTGTCTACTGTC